GCAGAATATACATAGGAAGACAAGTAGCAAGTCCAAGCACATTCCACAACTTATTGTTAATGTACCTCTGTACATAAACAAATCTTCTCCTTGTGCTCAAACATGCAAGAGTTGGCTGTCAAAACTTGGATGAAATAGTCTTCTGCTCAACGTATGTGGATTTCAGCTCCTATAACTTCTCAACCACAAATGGCTGTTGTTGAGATCTCTAAAAGTTGTTTCATATATCTGGAACTATGGGAAATAGTATGAACTTGCCTGATCATTCCCCAAATGTGTGAAACCAATGAGTTTTTTAAATGGAGCTTCTGTAAACTGGAGTTTAAAGGTTTTGACAATGGAGTACATCTACATGGAAGGAAGTATGCAGTGGGGCACCCAAGGTTCTATCTTAAACCCAGTATTCTTCAACATCTTCATAAAGGATTTAGATGAGGGGATAGAATGGGAACTCATCAATATTTTCAGATGACACCAAGCTGGCAGAATGGCCAACACTGCAGAAGATAGGCTCAAGATACAGAAGGATCTTGACAGACTAGAACTTTGGGCTCTATCTAACAAAATGAAATTCAGTTGTGAGAAAAGGAAGATTTTACACTTAGGCAATAAAAAGCAAATGTACAGGTATAGTTTAGGTGGTACCTGGCTCAATAGCAGTAATTTCAAGAGTTATGTAAGAATCCTAGTGGACAATCACTTAAATATGAGGAAACAGTGTGCGGCAGCCGCCAAAAAAGCCAACAGAGTTCTAAGGTGTATTAACAGAGGGATAGAATCAAGATCATGTGTAGTATTAACACCACTTTATAATTCCTTGGTAAGACCAGAGGTGATATTCAGCAGGTTCTGGCCAGTTCTGGAGAACCGGTAGCAGAAATTTTGAATAGTTTGGAGAATCGGTGGTAACCTTCCCCAGGGGTAGGAATGGAGATTTTACAGTATCCCTTCCCTGCCATGCCCACCAAGCCACACCCACCAAGCCATGCCATGCCCACCAAGCCACACCCACAGAACCAGTAGTAAAAATATTTGAATCCCACCACTGGGTAAGACCACACTTGGAATATTGCATCCAGTTTTGGTCACCATGATATAAAAAAGATTTTGAGATCTAAAAAGAATGCAGAGAAGAGCAACAAAAATGATTGTGCAGGCTAAAGCATTTGAGAAATGGTTGCAGGAATTGGGTATTTCTAATGAAAAAAGGACTAGGGGTGAAGAAGAAGAGAGGGTCAACCTATTCTCCAGAGCACCTGAAGACAGGACAAGAAGCAATGTATGGAAACTAATCAAAGAGAGAACCAACCTAGAACAATTAACTAGTGGAACAGCTTGCCACCAGTAGTTGTGGGTGCCTCATCCCTAGAGATTTTTAAGAAGAGATTGGACACGCAATTGTCTAAAATGGAATAATGTTTTCTGTTTCAGCAGTGGGTTGGAATAGAAACCTCCAAGGTCCCTTCCAACTCTGTTATTCTGTTATTTTAAAAATAGGCTAATGTAACTCATATATGAATACAGTTGCTAGTGATCACTTATTGAGCATTTATAGCCCATTTATTTTCCCATACTTCCCATTAATGATTTTCATTTTAAAGGCATGTGACATAACTTTTACATATCTGTAATTCAAATCCCATCCTTTTCTTCTTGTGCTGTTGAGGTCAATTTTCAGATCAGAATGCAATGCAAAATTTACTTGCAATTAATGTTTAGGACAATATATTTGGCTGAAAATTCTTAGGAAGGTAAAAATGTGATATTTCTGAAATTTTGAGCACCACCCATTATAATAAGTAAACAATTGCTCTAGGAAGATCATCTAAGTAGTCCCATGAGTAGATGCATTTTTCTATTAAATTAATAAAGAGAGAGCTTTGCATCCTTTAAATAGAGCCTTTGGCCTTCCTTTCTATAAGCCTTATTTTTCCTTATTTCATGGTACTTCATAAACTTTGTTCTTCTTTCATCTTCTTCAAGATTAAAATAAAGACACGAAATGCAGCATAAACTCCATTTTTGCACTGAAAGAATATATGAGGGAGACCTACCCTAAGAATTGTGTGTGTGTGTGTGTGTGTGTGTGTGTGTGTGTGTATGTATGTGTATATTCACATGTTCACCATGGAAACGGAAACAAACAAACAACTACCATTCCTAGATGTACTAATCTACAAAAAAACAGATGGCACACTAGGACACACCGTATACCAGAAGAAAACACACACTAACCGCTACCTCAACGCCCAATCCCACCACCACCCAGCACAGATAAACTCCGTGGCTAAAACACTAATTACCAGAACCAAACGCCTGGCAGACAAGACACACATTAAGACTGAACTATGCACCCTGACTAAAGTACTGACAGCCAACGGCTTCCACAAAAGCAAAATCACCAGCTTGATCCACAAAAACACACTGAAACATAATAGAGACCCAGAAGATGAACAGACCTATGGAACAGCTGTCCTGCCCTACATAAGAGGTACTACAGACAAAATTAGTAAGGTACTACACAGATATCACATCAAGACTGCCTTCAAAACAGACAGAAAAATAGCAGCCATCCTTAGCAACCCCAAAGATAAAATTGACCTGGAAAACCAAGGCATATACGAAGTCCCCTGTGCATCATGCCCAGCCACATACATTGGACAGACCAATAGAAGAATAAGAATAACCCACCTGGATGAACACAAAAATGCAGTCAAAAAGCTGGAACACACTTCCTCACTAGTCCAACACATGGAAGCTACAGGTCATAGCATCAACTTCAATGGCACCAAAACCCTGGCCACTATGGAAAACCCTAGCCACAGAGTCATCAGAGAAGCCATAGAGATTGAAAAAAGACCAGAAAGCATGAATAGAAGAGATGATTCCACCAG